TTGTAGCTCGAGTGGTCCTGTCTGAGCTTTCTTTATGCCTAATGAACTGCTTGCGTGATGAAATTCACTATGATCAAAAACAAACCATAATACCAACGGCTGTGATGTGTGAGTGATGGCTACATAGCTACTTTGTGTAAAGGTTTACCCGTGCTGTCAAATGTATTTATACAAAACATGGATTACACACTCAGTACTTACGTTTAAACAAAACGTGGGAGTGTTGGGCCGCCACAGTGGGGGAGTTTAGGTCCATGTTAAAGGAGCGAGAGAATCGCTCTTCTGTAACCATGTTGAATGTTTGCTATTGCGTTGATTCACTTGTCTGTACTGAATATCGTTATGTGTTATACTATGTAGTGACTTCTGTTGCCCTCTTGGCAAAGACTTTTATACAAATCGTGTAACTCACTAGTACACCAAAGTGACTACAAAGTCATCATGGAAAGAGCTTTTCTTTCAAATCCTTAGTGTTTGGGGAAAACACAAAGGCTTGACATTGTTAGTTAGTTCACTCTGCATGTCTGTGGAGTGAACAAAGTGTATAAGATGCAGATTATGAAAGTCTAGCTGTAAGTTCTAGTCTATTTCATGAATACAGTTTTATTTCAGGTCTTTCATTAATATTAATATAATTAACACTACTTGGTCCCAACAGTAACTATGACTTGTGTAATATGTGTAGTAGTGCGATTACTCTCATCAATGTGTTTTAGGATGAGTGGTTTGTTTGTAAAAATGTTTCAGAGTAGTTATTATATTCCCTCATTGTCTTTCATTTTCAGAATTATATCAGGCTAGGAGCTTTATACAAGTCATGTAACGTAGAAGTACCCAGTTATTATGGTTACATACTGATATGTGGTGTCTGAAGTTACAGTGTATTTTTTAAATAGAAGAGGCTGAGGGTTGACAGGTACGGTCAAACATATTATATGTTTTTATTGGCTCGGATTAATACGTCTTACACCTCCTACTGTAAGATTTCTGTCACCATCTTACAATACTTACAGTACATAACAATCCCATTACAAAAACAGAGGTGACGACTGGCTGACATCTAAATCGACATCCACGACACAAGCAGGGCTTTGAGTAAAATGCCACTGTACATCATCACTGTCCACAAAAAATAACAACAAAATTCAACACACACATTTTATTTTTATCAGTGAAATACAATAATCAGGTATTACAGTGGACAGGTTACTGTCCTCCAGCTGTGGGAAGAATGATTTTGTTTGTGTCATAGTAGTTCTCCTCTATGAGAGGGCCACCATCGGCCTCGCGCTGCTGAATCAAATGTTCGGCCTCTCTTCTGGCCCACTGCCGCATGCTGGAACACAAAAATACACCAGATATGGACGGTGAGAAAATCAGAATGAAACCTATAATTAAACAATAATTAACTCAAGTTTAGGTGTAAACATTTCATTATTCCACTTAGACCCTCATGAATTCCAGAAAGAATATTAAATTGTGATGTTTTGTCAACAGGACAACTTTCATCCGTCCATGTTAAATCAGAGTTGATGGGTACATTTTTGGACCTTTTCTTTGCATGGTTTAAGTGAAGCTGTTGAGTTGCACCAGGCCTGTCTTGGATCCTCCCCCACCAACCCATCCAGCTCACCACCGGGCAGTCATCAAGTAAAAGCTCACCCTCTCTCTTTACATGAGTGTCTAGAACACACGCCGCAGATCCAGTGATACAAAAATCAATCAACCTGCGACATAAATGCACAAGTCTCCTGGACAACCTAAGAACACACTCAGATTCAGACATTGTGTTTGTTATGGACAAACTCTGACAACAACAGGAACAAGAACATTTACAAAATCTCCAGCAGAACAAAGACCGATGAGATTTGTCCAGACCGTCTGGATGTTTTAGTGATGTACCAAAGACGAGGGCTGTGCCTATATCATATTGTCCACAATAATATCAGTCTATGTTTTTATGCAATATAAAAATGTCATAGTGATGTCATTACTATTGTAAGGCTTTGCATTATTGTTCTCTAGTGTAAAATAGAAACAAACCTGAGCATGTCAGAGAGTAAGAGCCATGTGCCAGCCTACGATGAGCTAGTACCTAAAAAGGAAGCTGCCTCAGCTGCCTCCAACAAAGCAGCACTTTGTAAAATATGCAAGAAAACCGTTCACGCTAAAGATGGAAACAAACTTCTTTTTGAGAAAATTACAAAAAAAAAAAAAAAAAGGCCATTCAGTACAACCCGGATAAGGAGGACAGCAGCTGCCGATGCAAACAGTGGGGGAAAATTACTGATCTGGTTACATACATGCTACTTTTAATTTATGCTGTTTGAATGGATATAATGCAAAATCACTAATGCACAATAATGCTGCTCGCACCTTGCTTCAGTAGAGCCACAGTTTAAATTACTGTGTTATTAATGACAATAACTGATTGGAAAAGGGACAATTTCCTTCATGAATTTACAATTACAAACGCTGCTGTCTGCAAGCCTCATGTTATACTTTAAATCCTCTATGTGAGGCAATTCTAAAGAGTTTCGCAAATACTTTCATTCTATTTACATTTTAAAAATATTCCAACTGTAAAATTTAAGTTTCTTAATCTCAAATCACTGTTTAAAAAAAATAAAGTGTTATTAACTTGATATTCAGTTAGCGTCTGCTGTGCTCCCAAGTATTGCTTATTAATATATTGATAAGCGTTGGTCTTCCTTGGTCTCCTGTGTTCTGAGGGCCTCTGGATGTCTGGAGCCTAGATCTCCTCCATACCTGCTTCATGCCCTGGAGGACGGGGCTGTGGCCCCCCCACACCCTCTAGCAGTCATTACATGAAGGAACCTTTTGAATACAAGCTAGCTCATGCTCACAGGTGTACACACGGGTGCTCACACACAAACTACGAGACAAGAACACAGCTGATCAGGGAGGGGATTCAAAAACAAAAATAAAATCGGCCCTTCGTGATCGCTCAAACAATTACATTTAATGACAGGAAGTTCATTCAACTGGATGTAGTGTTTTCAGGGGGAGATAAACAGAATCAACATTGTGGGGATTTCTTTACCTGGATGATTAACTATGAATCAAGCCATCATGCAAACATAAGTTTATTTCATTTTGTTTGATTACTGAAAGTTTTCCTTTTTATTCGGGCTGGTACAGTTACTGCTTGGTTAGGACATCTTAGTTTCCTCAGCAGGGCAGCATGTGGGGATTAATTGCTACACTTTAGATACTGAGGGTGGCTCATGTTCAAAGCAGCCACATTTTGCCCGAATTGTCGATTTTCTTACGTGAATTCCACCTTCATCTTCCTCACTCTCTTATAGGGACTGCACTTCTTCAAGGCTGATGCTAGCAACAGCCTCCTGTGAAACCCACCACAGTGGCTTGTGCATTGTTCACATTTACACACCACTTCAGAAATTTACCCACATTTGGCCAGCGGCAGGTGCCAATTTCCACCCTGGTGAGAAAATGTAAGCGGCTGGCTTAACCACGGCTCAGAAACGACGGCTCACTTTGCAGCATTCATAGTGTTCTTAATCCCAAGGTACTCTGATGAGGCCAAAATGGGGACAATTTCAAGAACTGGTGACTAGTTTGTAGAGCTGGGCCATACCGTTCACGGTAATACTGGTATAATGTCGGGCAACGATAAGAAAATGACATAGATAAATATTTTTGGTCATATCGCCCTGCTCTACTAGTTTGGAGCGTCCTTTGACCATGACGCTTTACCAAAAATAAAAAAATAAAAACATGAAAAAAAAGCCAAAACAAAACACACATTTCTCAGGATAATAACTAAAAGAATGTTGTTTAAAGTGTTTGCAGATCTGAGCAGACACCAGTGGACTTTCCAAGTAGGAACTGGTACAAACTGGTAAAGAATTGCACACCACTATACTGAAATATAATCACACTTAATATATCAGTAACATACAAGTGCATACAAATGAACTTGGATATAAGTCTTGGTGGTGCCGACAATTATTGATCATACCTTTACATTGAAAGGACACCTCGCTGCCTTTAGTCTTTTTCTTGGCCATTACTGGGTCAATAGTTCGATGGGCCACAATCAAATCAGGTGTTAAGCTGATTTTATTTTTACTCTAGTAAAACTGAATTATATCCCAAGTTCAACCTATGCTGAGAGGTCAGGGTCAGCAGGGGTTTTGAAATTGTGTGCTGGGAGCCCGCCGTTGTTGGTGGTATGGTGACAGAGAATCCGTGTACACACATGACGCACACACGCGTGGTTTTAGAACACCCACATTTATCCAGTTATTTATTGCAATTCAAGTCCAATAAATAGCTTGAAATGGTACAAAGCGGTGAACTGCCAGAGGTTAAAAAAAAAGGGGAAATATCATGTACATTTCAGAATTATACAAAAACGGATTAAAAATTTAATCTGTTCTGCAACAATGGAGCTTGATCAAGCCTTGAAAGCTGGTGCTACTAATTTCTACAGCTGTTCCGACTTTTCTGGATTACTTCCCCCTGTGTCTGCATTAAAGAAGTGTTGCAACACACTGTGGTACCATATGCTCGTCAGCATCAGTTGAACAGTGTTGTACTGCAGAAAGCAGTGTGATGGTACACAAATGGTGAGAAAAAGGTGATTAACAATGGAAGAGAGACAGACCATCATAACACTTATAAATGTCGGCCTGTCCTACAGAGAAACTGCAAAGAAAGTCAAGGTGTCAGTGAGTCCAGTTTCCTTCAACATCCAAAGGCTCAGAAACAAACTGACAGGAAGAGGTCTGTAGACCCAAAGACACGACTCAATCAGAGGCCAAGTTAACAGCTGTGTGATAGGCGGCTCACAGGACAACAGCTTCAAGCAGCTTAATAGTGGTCGTAGTAAGAAAGTCTCAGTTTCAGCTGTGAAGAGAAGACTTTGAGCTGCAGGTTTGACAGGACGAGTTGCAGCAAGAAAGCCAGACGTCAGAATAAGACAAAGAGGCTTGGCTGGGACATGAAACACCACCATTGGACTACTGAAGAAGAAGGTATTATGGGCTGATGGATCAACATTTGAAATCTTGGGTTCATCACACAGGATCTTTGCTGTGGAGTAGGTGAAGGATGGTTCCACAGTGTGTGGCATCGTCTGTCAAACATGGAGGAGGAAGTGTGATGGTCTGGGGCTGTTTGCTGGATTCAGGGTCGGTGACTTGTACAGCGTGAGAGGCTCCCTGAACCAAAACAGTTACAACAGCATTCTGCAGTGCAATACATCCTACAGCAAGATAATGACCCAAAACACAAGTCCAAGCTGTGCCAGAACTATGTTGGGGAAAAAAGAAAGATGGGAATATGGGAAGAACTTTCTGGAGAATATTTGATTTCCATTGTAGAAAGAATGCAGCCGGTGTGTTCAGCTGTTATATCAGGTGCTACTTTGATGAGTAAAGGTTTAGAATTTTGGTCTATAAACTGATTCCATGACTTGTTTGGGGTTTTTTTTTTAACTCCAATTACTTATTTGTAGCATGCTTTCATTTCAGAGTGCAATGAGACATTAAACTGAATAATTTTCAATAAAAGAAAAAAGTTGTGGTGTTCTGAAACTTTTGACGAGTAGTGTATATAATCCTATTTTAACTTAGGACAAGACATCTGACATTTTCACTGTCCTTTGACAAAGAACCATAGCTAAGTCCTAAGCCTAGCCACCGTATAAATGAGCTGATATGAAAAGATAAATTGAGAACTCACCCATGGTCGGGTAAATAGTGGATAAAAGTTCCTCCAATGACGAGAGCAACTGAAATGCCGAAGAAGAAGCCCACTTTCATATTCCACTCATCCTCCACTGGATCGCTGGAGAAGCCATGGTATTCCGGATTCTGAAAAAACCCACAAAAGGGGACCAGTTTAAGTATCCAACATGTTTTCAGTCAGTACTGGAAGGATGATACTGGCCTGTCTACACTTTCTGATATGATTTGTATGTTAACAGAACAACTAAAGTTCTTTGTTTTATTCAGGAGAATCTGACTTAAAACCGCCTTATCTGACTACATCTAGACAAGCCAGAGGAAAGTTGAACCTGAGGAATAAACTGAAGAATTTGCAAACTCTTAAATGTCCCACAGACATTTTCCTGCATTATCAGGTGACCTCTTCTGACAGGGAATAGCTTAAAGCAGCTTTTAAAATCAGTCTAATATTATGGACAGTTTTTGATATTTACACATTTGTGAAATATTAATTGTTTTTCTGATAGGCATATTGGTGTTTTATTTTAAATTAATAGCGGCCTTGTAAGATTCAATGGTTCTCACACAAAATACACTGCTTAAAAAAAAATTAAAAAAAAACAGAAACAAAACGAACACCTGATCGGATCTCACGGGCAGACAAATCATTTCAGAGAACCGACTGAGCCAGAGCAGGCTAGCTGTATGTCTGCGGTAAAAACAGTAGTTTTTAATCAATGAATTTTTATTTTTAATCATTGCGATACTATTGTATATTCAGAACTGGTGCGCAATTTAAGCTCTCAGCGCACTTGTTGCAAAATAAACCGATCTGATTGGTCAGATCGGTTTATTTGGATCTGAAGAACCGCAAAAATCGAGCCTGGTTGGGAAAAAATAAATGCCGTAAATTCGTCCAGTGAAAATACGCGGTCGGCGTGAACGGCTGCATTAATGGGGGTGTCCGAGAATAATTTAAACACACAGAATTGAACGCGTCCGGTGTGTAAAGCCCTTTACTGTGTAAAAATAACATTAGCATGCTGTCCTCAAATCTGATCGAGCAGAACTCACCTTGACATACGGGCTGACCTCACCGTGACCAGAATGCTGGACCTCGGGGTGGAGCTCCGTCACCGCGGTTGAGCCTGTAGCACTGTTCGCTTTAGACTGGGAGACCAACCGGGCTGGTGGATTATAAAGTAACCGGGGCAAAGTCAGCCCAAACCGCGAAATTCGGGTCAACATTTTTGCCACTTGTGAAGGATACTGTTAGCCCGGAACCGGAAACTACGGTTTCAACTCTTCTTCTTCTTCTTCTTCTTTTGTTTACCAAAAACCGAAACGCTGCATTACCGCCACCAACTGTGATGGAGTGTGGACCGAAATGACACTCGGAAAAAAATGTCAGGCAACATTTACGTGTGTATACACAGTTCCACACATCACTAACCACCTAGCATATCTGCAAGTTCATTAATCTGCTTTAACTATTTTGTTTGCTAAGATTAAAAGAGCGCTAACACAAACTGGCTGATCCATATCATACCCCTACTGTTACCTTCACGCTCCACAGCTCTCCCCGTTCTCCTCTCAGCTCTTGGTTCTTCTCCAGCTTCTCGTGTTCCTTCTTCCTGACGCTGCTGACATTCAGTACAGCTACATCTGTCACTACAGCCTCGTCCTCTGCTTGTTTTGTTTTTTAAATGTTCTTTGATAAATCCCAAGATTAAAACATTTCTTCAGCTTTGATTTTGTCATGTTTTCAACAGTTTTGCATTCATGTTGCTGGACGCAGATCATCTATTTGTCAGTAAAATGCTGACTGTGTGACACTGAAAGGGGAAGAGAGTTGAAATGTAAAAATAATCATAAATGATGAAAAATAAAGGATGGAAATAACAGACAGTAGCTGCAATGACCATTTTTTTTTATTGTTTTAAAATTCCGTTTTACTTGAGCTGTTTGTAAGTTATAACTTTAATCTTCTCAGCAGTTTGCTGATGGACCGACAAAAACAATTACGAGTAGCCTAAAGACCAGATGTATTACGTTTTTATCAGTCTGTGAGTGCCGACAGGCTACCTTTGAACTATCCATGTTCAAGCATAAAATAAGTATTAAAGGTTTATGATCCTACAAATCTGTCATTGTCATAGGGTCCATGTACATGTTTTCAACCACTGCAAATGTGCTCCTGTGTAGTCCTCCACTTGATTTCACTTCAACTCTTTTGTAAGTTACAACTTTGCTCATGTCTACAATTGGCTACAACAACAGGAAGTGAAGCCCACAGACGCGGTGGGCTGATTATTTTGCACACTCCCTCCACTGACAACACTCTCTGCAGGTAGACAGCCAATCGTGATAGCCGACAAGCTACCCCTGCTCAAACATAACATGAACAATATAAACGATGCTGTTGCCAAAATAATTCACACACCCATCCAAATCATTAAATTCAGGTTTTCCAATCACTTCATTGGCCACAGGTGTATAAAAGCAAGGACCTAAGTCTGCAGACTGCTCCTTGTGACAGAGCGGTACCCTGTTACACAGGATGCCACCTGTGTAACAATTCCAGATGTTAAATTTCCTCATTAAAAATTCCTTAGTCAACTGATACAGGTAATATAACAGTGAAGCAACTGGGAATGACAGCAACACGGAGCTTTTCTGTAGAGTAAATGGATACACACCTGCAAACTTCGCCTGGCTTTCAGATTAGCTCAGCACATACAGAGCTTTATGGAATGGATTTCCATGGCTGAGCAGCTGCATCCAAACCTTAATGCAAACTGTCAGATGCAGTGGTGTAAAACACGCTGCCACTGTACTCTTGAGTAGTGCTTCTCTGTCTGGCAAATGGACAGACGAGTCTGGACTTACCAGTTCCCAGATGAATGGTACCTGTGTGACTGTATTGTGCCAAGTGTAAAGTTTGGTAGAGGGAAGATTACAGTGCGGGGTCATTTTTCAGGAGTTAGTCACCTTTGTTCCAGTCAAAGGAACTCTTAATGCGTCAGTATACCAAGGCATTTTGGACAATTTCATGCTCTCACCTTTGTAGGAACAGTTTGGAGATGGCCCCTCCTGTGCCAACATGACTGTGCATCAATGTACAAATCAAAGTAAAAGACATATATGAGGGAGTTTGTTCTGGCTAGTCAAGCTCTTCCACGCCAGAGTCCTGGCCTCAACTCGACAGAACACCTTTGGGATGAACAGGCCAGGCCTTCTGGTCCAACGTCAGTGTCCGATTTCATAAATGTGCTTTCGGAAGAATGGTCAGAATTGACATAATTAAACTCTTAAACGTTGTAGAAAGCCTTCCGAGAAGAGCTGATGCTGTTACAGCTGCAACGGATGTGCTGACATCGAATTCAACCCTTATGTGTCTACAACTCAACTTTGTCATCAGATGGTGGGTGTGAAGCAGAATTTATAATCAGGCGTGAACCTCATGTGTGCATCAGTTAGACTAACTTCTTAAAATGCTTAATTGCTTTAAATGAATGAACAAAGAAGTACTAGATCCACCCAAGTAAAATTAAAATTGAGGCAGTTTTGAGAACAGGATTGTATTTCAAATTCTACACTTGGACTTTTGTAGCCTTCATGAAACAGTTCAAAACAATCATCCTCCATGCAATCAGCTGCACTGAATATTTATTTGTGTCCAATATACAATCAGTAACATTGTGTTTTAACTTTTGTTTACATAGATAACTTGAGATAAATCTTTTTAAATAAATGTACATATTGCTAGCTCACAGTCCAGTGAGTACAGTTACTTCAGATTGGTTTATTTTGATATTAAATACTGACATACAAAAGGAGGCAAAACAGAACCCCAGAATCATAACCATACGAGCTTCTCCAACGATATCAGTCACTTCAAATTCTGTTTAAACAGAAACAGTCCTCAGAAGGTAATTCTCAAATAAGCGTTACTTTTGCATGAGTACTGTGTTTGCAGAATACCTATCCCTTAAAAAGTAAGAATAGGTAAGGTAAACCATGCTAAGAAGAAGAATGTTTTAAGATCTACTCCCAAAATTTGTAGTTGTGCCTTCATATCCCTAACAGATGGCACACAACTGAGCTGAGGTCTGGAACGTCGAGCATGTGGTCTAAGGATGGATTCATGTGACCGGGGCCAAAACCCATCCAGAGTAAGCATTTCTCCAGCTGCCCAGCTTATTGACAGTGTCATGGCCTAAAACATAAATATGTATTTTGCTTCCCGTCACCTATGTTGAGCTGGTAAAAAATAAGACCAGAATATCATCACCACCTTTTATAACCACAGCATGAGCATAACTGCTTTGACACAAACAATAACAGAAAATGATGAATGTAAGCTTTGTTAAAGTGGAGTTTATATCAGAGCTAGCACAATGCAAGCTTTGATTTCACAGGCACATATCTAATGTGATCAATAAATCTGTGAATCAACTCAAAAAAAACCAAAACAACAAAATAGGGCCAATCGTCCTGGGCGTGTCCTGACAGCTTTCAGCTGCTTTTTGATTGATTGCTGTTAGTCGGGTTCACTCTGTGAGATCTTAGTTTCCCTCCAAAAAGGACAAAAGAAGATGCGAGCTGTACATTCATAAAACACTGTCTTTGGAAAAGAGCAATGAGCAAAGTGCTAAAATTAAACATTACTCAATAAACACATTTACAGTGTGCAGTACTTACTTTACTACTGATGTAGTTTTAATTTGTGACCCCAGCACAAGGTCTCTTAATAAAAAGGCATTTGTACAAAGTAGACTGAAACCACACTGATGTTCACAGCATGGCAGCCAGTTTTTGTCCTGGGCTAACATGTTTTAAAGAGACGTCACAGCTGTTTGTTTTAACAGCGGCTTAGCAGAGGTTGGATCAGAGACAGCGGCCCCATCTCAGTTTCAACATCAGAACCTACGCCTTCATACTGTCTGCTCCAGTATAGGGTAGGTTGTGGTTATGGTGAGCTAGTCTTACAACTCCAAGATGAATTAGAAAGAACTAGAAATTGACTGGAAAACGTCTAAAGAGCAGAGACTGGACCATACGCAGCAGCTATATGTTTGTAATAAGTAAACCAGTTCATCTGGACCATAGCTACTCTATGAGGAACTACTGGCCAATAAGTATGCAGCTATGGTCGTGTTATGTGTCAAATATTGCCAAGTATGTTTTCAATTCAATATTATTTGTATGGCACCAGTTCACAACTAGTTGCCTCAAGTGAGTGTTTTAGAGGACAACCTACTTTCAACAGGAAGCAATTTCAGGCAGAAATGAGTCCTGGATGGTGCACCATGTGCTCCCGAGCACAGTGAATGTCACTGCAAATGCCTTTCTGCATGTTTGCTTTGAAGATACAAAGAAATGAAACAACATGCCAACTAAATAGTCAGCGAGTGGCTCCTTGTTCACACACACACTTATTTAAAATATCCAAACTAAAAGAATTTAGATTATCGGATTAAATTATTGGGGTCACAGGGTCACATCCCTATCGAGCATGTTATTTTATGAGTAACAAGTCACACTTGAGGTTATTTTAAAAAAACAACAACAATAAACAAGCAAACAAACAAACAAACAAACAAAAAACAAAACAAAACATACAAATTCTGCAATTATTCAGTGGTTCGTGCACTCGGGATGAGTGAAAGCAAAGACTTGACTCATGAGTTCAAGAAACCACCATCCCATTATGTTTTTAAATAATTGAACTCCCGTGTTTTAATTAACATACTTCCATGGCTTCCTGGAGAGGAAATCAGATTGTAAACAAACATGATAAAAGTGGCAACACGGGTTAAATGCACCAAGTGTATGATTCAGACAGGCTCAGGGTCAAATATCAGATCCCCAAATTACTGAGGTTCAAGAATCAGCAACCCCAATGGAAAAAAGGCTTCTTAGGTTCTTTATCCCGACTTCCAGAGAACAAGCAAGAAAAATGAAAAATATTACACTGACCTTAAGGAATATATGTATTTAATTAGAGACAGAATTGAAAGAGCTGAATCCACTAAGCAGTCCGGAAAAGGAGGCCAGTGATGTACAACAGAATCAGGAACTGGTGGAAAAGGAATTTTGAGCTATCAGAGAAGGAATGGTGTTTGCCAAATTATAGGTTGAGTTTGGAGATGACAACTGTGGAGATGCTAAAGGGCTGTAAATGGGCTTAGCAGAGATGGCTGAAGAAGGGGAGTGCTGAGTAGCAGTAGCTGTTGTTGGAGAGTCTGAGCTAACCTCATCCCCTTCTTCTGAGTCCCACACCTCACTTTGCAAGTACTCTGCAAACAGGGCCTTGGCTCTTTGCAGCACTCTGCTCAGGTTGTGGCGTCGCACAAGGCGATCAAAGTGCATGGCTAGCTCATTGTAATCCAAACTGTTCTTGATGATATGGTCTCTGTGCTCCAACAGGATGGACAAGCACAGGAACAGCATGAACGGGTTGCCTTTACCAAACTCTTGAGGAGGTGGCAAGGAGCACGGCTTGATGCCAGTGGTCTCGGCTTTTAGAGAACTGGGCGTATTAGCAGCGCTGCTGGGGGATTTGTTGCCAGGTGAGAGGAGACTGTTTGAGTACAACCTGGAACCAGACAAAGATGTTCCTCTTCCAAAGGACAAAATGGGTGAAGACAGCAGGGATCTGTTTTGAGCAGTAGAAAGAGAGCTGACGGATGTCCGTGCAGTGGGGGTTGTGGGTGAACTGATGCGTGTACTGCTGGGCAACTGAGTAGAAGAAGCTGACACGTTTAGGCCAGCTCTTGGTAAGGCCTCACTTTCGTTGCTCACGTATGGTGATGTGGACTTTGGAGGAGAGTCTGGAGAAACACCAGGCCAACTCGATGGTGACACTGAAGACATGGGAGAGACAGAGGAGCCAGTTTTCCAGACGGGTTGGCTGCTTGGGAAAAGAGGTGGAGAAACATCATTATCAAAATTTTTAAACAGTGGTGTTTGCTCTCCCGTGTCCTCCTCAGTGTCAGTTGTGGATTGGCGCCTCGGGATGCTCGTTATCGACTCTGAAACCACTGCACCCTGTTGACATGGAGGATGCTGTTCAACCTCCTCCATATCAAAGCTGTCTTCATTTCGGGCAGTATAATATTTAAACTCCCCAAAACTAGTCTGCCTCTCGAAGGGAGCACCTTTCAAATCTGTCTTTGCCATGGTTACCTGAGGGATATCACACTCGTCACCCACATTTGCTTTGTCCGAGCTCACGCTTTGCCTGTCCATTTCATCAGCGATGGCATTTATGTTCATGTCTGCTTCTTCTCTTGAAGGTCGCAGCATGTGCCGTCGACGCTGCTTCTCTTTTTGTTCCTTATCTTGAAAGTAGTCCTCAACCGTCTTGTCCTCAAAGTTGCTGAACATTGTTTCGTCGGCTTCCAGAGGTGGCCCCAGAAGCTCCACTTCAGTTTCAGGAGGATCTGGGGGCAGAGAGCTCCAAGTAACTTCCAGCATCCTTAGAGCATCATCAAACGCAAACTCTCGTTTAAGCTCCAGAAGAAGCCAACGGTAGCAGAAGAAGAGGTCGTCAGCTCCTCGGGACACTAGGTAAGAGTAGAATTCAGGATCGGAGTACTGCAGGAGGAGCTTCAGATGCTGGAACTTAACAGACATGAGCTGCCCGTCTGGCCGAAAGTTTCCTTCTAAGCGTTTCATGATGCCACAAAAGCAAATGAAGGCGTGTGCCTCGTTGTCCATTACTGCAAGTATTGGGGAGGCAATGTCACTCATGCCTTGACAGTAAGAGATCTGGAAAAACAACACAATGGCAAAACGTTACAAAAGATGACAGTTTGCACAAAGAACACATTTCTATATCACGTTATATGTCATGTCACAATCATCAAATGTATCATTTAAGACTGTGGTCTTTCTTCCTTAAAACAGCCGACATTAAAATACTTTTAAAGGAATCAAAACTGGAATGCTTTGAGCAAACCATTAGAAAAGCTAAAGTCATGCAAATCAGTCTTTTCTTAAAGAAAAATATCAGCCTTGTTATTTTGTCTTGGTTTGTTCCTTTTCTTCTCATACGTGCCGTCACTATCAGACAGTAATCTCTGTAACGGGCAGAAAATTGTGATTTTCCTTTGATGAAAAACTCCTCTGAGGCATTGTAGGAGATGGAGTTATTTAGTTAATGAACTTTAACAGTGACAAAATAGGTTTTAGATGAAAAACAGCAAAGGTAAGACAAAATTCATGCTACTATTTTTCAAACTCGAAGCGTGGTCTGGTTTCCTTTTGCTGCTGGTTCAGTGAATTTTGGTCGGAGCGTGATGAAACTTGCAGTTTTGGAATCTGCGAGATGCCGGCTTTCAATGTTACATACTTGTCTGCGACTCTGCAAACAGGGAATCCGTGCTTTGTGTTTATGTCATTTGTGTTTACATGCTCTTCTATTTGTTTGTTGAGCTTTTAGCCAAGATTCTGGCGTTTCTGTGGATACAGAGGGTTAAGAGATTCAGACTGCAGGAGAAGATTTGCGTTCCAGATAATGCGCCAATACAAACCTGTGGATGAGTGATGGCAAATGTGGTGAGTAGATCTGTGAGGGCAGTCAAATGGGGACTATCCTCAGAGCCTGCATAGTATGGATGAGCTCGATCCGTCCTCAGGACGTCTTTGAGAACATTTCCACGGATAAATTCAAGGTCCTCATGACTAACCCGGGTTGTCCACTCTCTCTTTAGCTGGTCATACTCTCTCGTCTTCCTCTTCATGTAGTCCATTCTCTCCTGTCCGCTAAGTCCATCTGGATAGACATTCAGGAGGTAACGCCAAACCACCTAACCCAACAGAGGACAACAGAGGAGTTAATCCTTGAGAAATGTAAGTCATAAAATACAAATTCTATAATTGCACATATATGTTCTTAATTGTCCTTCAAGTTCCATCTTTTCATCCTAAAATCGCAAATGACTGAACGTATCAGTTCAAATCTGGTTGCAAGCTGGCTGACTGTTAAAACTCTCAGCCAAGAGGGAGAGCTAGGATAGCAGGATAGCTAGAATTAGCACGAGAATTTGTTCAGTTTAAATAATAACCAGAAATAATAACCAGATTATTTTGTTTAGAGCGTACAAGGTGCTCATATACAATATTAATCAAACACAGGTGCTAAACCTTCCGCAGCGACGGCTCCACACCCCCATGGTAGATTCGTAGTCTGAGTTCCTCAGGCCGGGTCAACTGTCCCTGTCCGTTAAGGTAACTGTGAAACTCAGCGTCACTTAGAGGGGGCTTGAAAGGCTTGATCTCCTCCCCATAAGACCAGCTGAAGGCCTGCTGGACCTTCGACAGGGTCCGGCCCACCTAAACAGAATAGAAACAGGTGCATCAGCAAAAACGTGGCTCAGAGAGTGTGGTTAGGTTAAACAGAGTGAGGAAAGGTAAAGGAACCTGGGACAGTAGAGACTGGGTGAAGGGAAGAGCTGCAGATGCCAAGGATCTAGTCTTCTCTGTGAGAAGCTGCTCAGAGCCAATCACGTCTTTGGGGCTTATGATGTCCCAGTCTTCCAAAACAGGGCCTGCAGTGAAATAATGACAAGCAGATTTAACAGCAACAGTGTTTTAGTCCTTCCTGTGTCACGTTTTGATGCCTGGTTTCAATCTGAAAGAGGTATTCTTTGTTGTAATCATTTCTCTTCTGCAAACAGACTTTTAAAAGTTTGGATGTGATGGGTAACAAAATGTTCTACCACAGACTGTAGTTTTGATCTTTAAAATTTATATTATTTACATCATAAATTAGAAATCTATAACATTTTTGCTTTCAGTCTTGATTTAAGTTGCTGGTGTTCTTACTGTCCTCAGAAGGTTTTATATCCATCTTGAGCTGCAGAAATGGTCTGGCTGCACTGACAAACGCAACATCCAAATCCCAGTCAGAGACCAGAGACATATACATTTCAGCCCCGCTGCGATCGCGAGACAGGTAACCAACGCTGAAATTTCTCTTCCTAATTCAAGAAAGATATTTAAACAATGTTAGATAAATTCTTTGGGCACTTCTCTGTTCATAAGTCTGTTTGGCCATTCTGACTCTTCTTACCCATTCAAATCAAAGGCTCTGATAAGTATGTGCTGCAAAACCTCCAGCGATGTTATCTGGGGATCAACAGCAAAGGAGCGAAACTCCACAGGAAGTGCCCCATCACATTTCTGGGAATAAATAAATAAATAAATAAAAATCATATTACAATCTCATCACTGACAAACAAGTAAACATACAAACATTCTTGGTGTGGTTAAACCATGGTAGGAGAATAAGAGATACAAACCAAGTCAATGGGATACTATACCACCCTATAATAAAATAAAAAACAATGCATTGTTACTAGACCATAACTGTAAAATGATTATAAAACAAAATACATAATAATTCGTCTATTTGAATGTAAAGCATACAAAACACATAAAATTAATGGAATAATGCTCCACATCATCCCCTGTTGTTGGGGGGTGGGGGGTTGCCTAGGGGGTGCTACAGTCTCTCAGGGCAAATTTGTCCTGGATGAGGGGCCAGACAAAGCACGATTAAGTCGACCCCTATGAGAAGAATAGAAATCAAGGGACTGTTTATTCTATCTGCAAAAGGGTTACTGGGGTCTCACCCTGAAACCAGGCCTGGAGAGGGAGCTCAAAGGTGAGCGTCTGGGGGGTCGGGCCTTATGCCATCTGTGCTGGCAGGCACAGCCCAAAGAAGCGTCATGGGACCACACTCATGGAATGTAACCTCTGTGGTGAATAAGAAGCCTGAGGTTAACAGATACATAAAGCTACAGTAGCCTCACTTCAATGCACAGCTTGGGGCTGGACTCTGTTCCGGTCTCAGTGACAGGTGGTAGGCAGGTATGGGTATTCTTGTATTCTCTCACCTTGCTGCCAGTATGCTGGGGTTCTTGCTGGTGGATGAGATGATTGCTTCCCTGCACCTTTGGGTCGGGGAATGGGTCCTGACTGTCATCTGTGCTTATGCACCAATGGACAGTTCAGACTAGCCAGCCTTCTTGGGGTCACTGAGTGGGATGCTTTAGGGTGATCCATCTAGTGTTTCTGTCATTCTACTGGAAAACTTCAACGCTCACATGGGAAAAACAGTGTTTGCAGATGATGTGGCCTTGGTGGTTGCCTCCAGCTTGCACTAAAGCAGTTCGGAGCCAAGTGTGAAGCAGCGGGAATGAGAACAAGCACCTCCAAATCTGAGATTGTGGTCCTCAGCTGGAAAAGGAGCACGACCAGTTGAGGTGGTTTGGGTATCTGATTAGGATGCCTCCTCGGCGCCTTCTGGGTGAGGTGTTCTGGGCACGGCCCACCAGACGGAGGCACCGAGGCAAACCCAAGACATGCTGGAGAGATTACATCAATCTCCTTACCATGTGTGGAGGGTTTCAACCCAAATCCAGCATCTTGGGACTGTACACTAAGCGGAAGGAAGGAGGCAGAGGGCAAGTGAGTGTCTGAACCACCATCCAGGATGAGACAACAAACATCCATGAGTACATCAGGAAGTTGGCCACAACTGACTGTGTGCTTAGTGAACAGCTCAGGCAGCAGAAACCTAAGAAAGAAGTGGAGCAAGAAGAACCATCATGAAGGAAAGGCCCCTGTATGTACCACCGGCAGATAGACGAAGTGGCTGGAAATCCTACCAGTGGCTGGACAAAGCTGGAGTGACAGCACATAGACACTAATCATGGCAGCACAGGAACAAGAACTGAGCACATAGAGGCTGGGGTCTGTCACACCAGACAAGACCCCAGGTGCAGGCTGTGTAAAGATGCCCCTGAGACAATCCAGCACATAACAGCAGGGTGTAAGATGCTAGCAAGCAGGGCATACATGGAACGCCATAATCAAGTGGCTGGCATAGTGTACAGGAACATCTGTATGTCCTGGACGTCACGAGATCAAAATTGGATACGCCCCCAAGGGTGGTTGAGCATGACCGAGTTAAGATTCTGTGGGACTTTCAGATACAGGCGGATAAACTGGTGATGGCTGACCAACCGGATACAGTAGTGGTGTCCAGCAGAGCGCAGTACTAGGAACAGCAAAGATACCGTGCAGGACCCTTGAGCTCCCAAGACTCTGGTAGAGGACTCGAGCTTGAAGGATGAAGGGATTTTTTTTCTGGTTTTTATATCAATCAACATTATTATTTGGTTCAATATTTGAATACATTTTGTTCAAATGTGCATTCGAATATTAAACCTTTTTGATATCTGATAATGTGATAGAAATAATGTGTAGAAACTAGCTTTTTAGTTTCTACACATTCTACCCTACTTTTATTTATGCAACTATAACAGTATTATGAATTTCTTTTGTGTCACAAAAAGGCCATTATTTAACAGTATAATTAAATGATGCAGGGTATACAGTGTACATTTCTTTCCTCTGCATGAAGTTTTTCATATTATGACCTTTAAACTTTGAAGTATTGTGCAACATACAGCAAAAAGGTTCGTAACATTATAAGCTGTTATGTCTTTGATGCAGATAACAATTGACACAACAAAACGGCATCCCCGGCAGACTTCCCACTGGGCTCTCCAAATCACGGACAAAGAGTTTCCCTCATTCTTGATTTTTAGTTCACAAACACTTCTTCTAATGACCAGCTACTCCTGAAATTTTGGAGTTTTAGCTCTTTATGCAGTGAAGGTACAGGAGGATAAAAATGATTATCGGGCAAAATGTCGTCGGTTTGTTAAAATAATCTCATAAAGTGAGAACAATAAATGTATCATTTTCTGTTTGTAACGACAGTCATCTTTCAGTTTTGCACTAAAGTAAACATCGCTACTTCCACATCTCGCTGTTTGTAATGGAGGCGGAGTCAACCGGACGTGCTCCCGACGCAGGGGAAACAACACCGCCGGGGATACCTACAGGCACAATACGCACACATTTTCTAGGCAGGCAAGTGACGTCAGCTCACCTCTGTGACAGCCCGATGTTTGCATTGGATATTGTCAACGTGTTATGACCGATAACCGTGTCAGGTGTACATTACAGGTTTACTCAGTGTAAACTGACAGGGACAATGACTGATCGGCATCGAGACGAAGCAATTCTACCGAAAACCCCCAAATAAATAGAAGAGGCCCCCTCTGTTATGGCACACTGCTAAACATCCAGTTTACGGAGTGCATATTTTCGATGTTTAACATTAACGCGGGAGCGTGTCTGTCTAAACAGCCAATTTAACCTATGCGATAATATGATTGCTCGCTGTTAGCAGTCTTTGGCAGCCTATGTGGAAGTGAAAGAAACCATCATTCTCCCACCTTGACTTTGACACGAACAACACCCCTCTCCTCCTCGCCTTCCATCGTAAAGACTCCGTTTCGGAAAAGGATGGTTCGACCGAGCTTTGTCTGCTGTTTGTTTGCTTTTCTATCCTGACATGATGGAAGTGGCTCCAGCCGAGTTCCTATGCTTGACGATATTCTGCTGATTCTTTTTCTTCTTCTTTGTATTCATTGGCTGTTGACAAACAACGAATTGGTGCATTACCGCCACCAACTGGTATGGAGTCTTCTTCTTTGTGTTTAACGGCGGTTGGCAACCAACGTAAAGGAACATTACCGCCTCCTACTGTTCCGGAGTATGGGTCAGACAGTGAGTTTACAATTTGTATCAAAACAAAAACAAAAACAAAAAAACCCTACACTCTTTCATAAACACCTATATCCTTCAGAAACCCCACCAGTTCCCTCACCTGTGCCCTACTACCCTCCAACACACTCTTCAGATTAAATTCCCCAATTCCCCGCTCCGTCAACCTATTCTGCAGAACTGTCCTCTCCACATCATAACCCTTGCACCGCAGTATTACATGCTCTACTGTCTCCACCTCCTCCTGGCACACTCCACAAAGCCCCGTCTCATGTTCTCCTATCATCTGTAGTGTTTTATTTAATGCACAATGTCCCAGTCTAAGCCTGGTAATGACCACCTCATCTCTCCTATTACCCCTATACAACCTACTCTCTGCCACCTCCTTCTTAAGATGATACAATTGTCTGCCCTTACTCCCTGAATCCCACCGCTTCTGCCACTCCTGAACAACCTGTCTCCAAACAATACCTTTTGCTTCAGATCCACTGCTTGTAATTGCCATCTCAGTCCTATTTTTAGTCAATGCTCTTTTTTTCCAACCTATCCACCTTTTCATTTCCACTGATCCCTACATGAGCTGGCACCCAAAGAAAGTGAATATTGTCACCACAACACCTTATCCTTCTTATAGTCTCCAGAACAGCATACAGCATGCCCTGCCTTGTCTTCGAACAAAATGATTGTAGACTTGAAAGAACAGCTGCCGAGTCAGAACACACTACCACCTGCCTGATTGTTGAACACTCTAAACTGATATGGAGTATGCGCCGGAATATCATATAAATGCATTTGTCTAAGATAATAAAATATTGCTGATAACTTTTACTTCCTGAGTTATTTCTAAGTAAACCGATGTGGGTGGTTTCATGGCCAGAGAGGAACTTAGGGAGAGTAATGAAGTACACAGCGTGTGAAAAACGGTCAGTTGTGAGAACGACAGTGTTACCTGCAGATGGAGGCAGTCAGGTAGCAAAATCCAGTGCAATATGGGACCAGTGGCACTTCCAGGTATGATGCAGCAGACCAACTGGGAGAGTGGGAGAAGTTTTGTTTTGAAGACAGGTGGCAGACAGCCACTCAGACGTCTCTGAGACTTTTGTTTGTCTAAGGATTCACATTATGGGTAAATGTTGCTACAATGTTGTCTGTATATGACAACATTGTAGCAACTTGAACTTTGGCTGGATGACAGATGAATTTTGACATGCGTGGCCAATGTATATTCTAAGACTGGACAACTGAAGCAACATAAAAGACATAGAGAAGCCGAGGCAGCGCTGAAGATGTTTTCAAGTGGTTAGCTCTGGCCAATCCAGAACTGCTTGGACCTTAGCTGGGTTGGCTCTGATTTGACTCTTCTCAGAGCTGTAGCCAAGGATGGAAACATTGTCAGCATGAAATTGACACATGCTACCTTTACGCATCTAACTTGTTTTCTAGGAGCTGCTGGAGGACTCAACAAAGATGGGACTGAATAACACTGAAGAAGATGCTCAGTGTTATTCAGAAACACTGCTTTCAGTTCAGTTTCATTTTTATTTATACAGCACCAAATCACAACAACAGTCGCCAAAAGGTGCTTTGTATTGTAAGGTAGACCCTACAGTAATACAACAGAGAACCCAACAATCATATGACTTCCTGTTAGCAACTGCTTTGGTGACAGTCATCTGGAATATTTTTTTCATTCACTGCAAACTCCCCACATGAGTTTTATTAATTTATTCTGGTCTGTGTGTACATGCAACCTCAAGCCCAGTGCTTGTTTGCTCAGCAAATGCTGTGTGGAGCAGAGAAACAGGGACTCCTTAGTCATTGTTCTTGGTGATTTGACTCAGGGAAACCTCAGTCAGGAGTTCCCCAAATACAACTTATTAACTTCTTAAGTCCCTCTTGCGCCTGGGAACAGGTTTAGTATGATGTGACACAAAGTCTATTTAAATACAGACATCAGTCGTAGCTTTAGAAACCTCAGAATCTCAGTCAAAAGCTCATGAAAACATTTTTGTATAACCCTGCAAAACAGCCAAACAACTAAAAGAGCAGGAAATTAAATTCTGCAAAATGACTGAGATGGCTTGGCCAAAGTGGCTGAAGAAGATCAGGAAACAGATGCTGTCCAATGTAGCAGGTGATTTATTTGCAAACATTGTGACAAAAAATATTTACAAGAATCAATAACTCAAAAGCTGCCTTGGACAAATAAACATAACTAAACTTAAACCAACCAAAATGAATCTCACATGCACACTGACCTGGTCCTCGTCTCTTGAACAACTAAGTTCTTCTGTTTAAATACTCTCAAGCTATACAAACAAAATTGCCTCCAATGGGCTAGTCCATACAAACAGAATACAGTCATCCAGGTAAGACACATACATGAGACTAAATATTATAATCATCCTCTTACTCACTTTTCACCAGCAACAAAACACACACTTCTAAAGTGTACATTACATTTTACAATAATACATACAACACTAAAGCAAACAAAACCCTAAAATGCACTTCTATTACCGTAAATGACAACAGTTTTCTTCCCTCTCTTCACCTTGTCCCTTTCTGTGAAGTCAACAATAAACAGGAAGCTATAAATACAGGAAGTGAGTGAGAACTTCCTCTCACAGAGTAAAATGCACAAATTAACAGAAGAAACCTGCAGTGTGAGAGTGATGTGCTCTAATAGGGTGATGTGGTAATATGAGGCCATTAATGGGAAGCATGCATAATAATCTGATCATACATGCCTCCCCGAGGCAGTATAATGCAAACAGAATTGGTCCTAGCACTGAACCCTGTGGAACTCCATAATTAACGTCAGTGTGTGAAGAAGACTCTCCAACAAACTGGAGTCTATTAGATAGATATGATACAAACCATTGCAGCGCAGTACCTGTAATACCTACAGCGTGCTCTAATGGCTCTAATAGGATATTATGGTCGACAGTATCGAACGCTGTGCTTTCCCTTGCACGGTGGCTGTTATGCTCACCTGTCATTGATCCAGGAGTATCAACAGGCAGTATTTAAGACCAATGTCCACATCTGTTCCTCGCCAGTTTGTTATCTAACCCGTGTTAGTAACAGGCCACCTTTGCTTCACAAGTCACGTCTATAATTAACTTACCTTGTTCTCACATTGTGTGCAGTTTGCATCTCTACCCGGATGCTGGTCACCATTTTGGAAATTCTCAGGCTGCTTCAGGTTTTCTGGATCATGCTTCACCGCCTTCCTGCCTTCCACTGCTCTGGATCACTGTACAAACCAGGTTGGATTCACTTCACACTCCCATCTCTCTGGACACTCACCCGGCCAAAATTACTTCTCCCAGGAGCTTCTTCCGCTCCTCCTGCCAAGTAAGCCACAAGATTCTCCCTAGTCTTCTCCTCCCAGCACATTAAGCAATCTCTCCTTGTGCCATTGTTTACTTTTACGTTTTGCACTAAAGCTTGTGTGAGAACTGTATCCTTGATGTCTGTGATTGAATCTGTGTGTGGGTCCCGTTGTGACGCCACCTGCTCAACTTTTTCGAGGAGACAGACATTTTTTCCAAACTAATGTGATCTAGAAGTAAAATTCTGCATTGAGTAATACACAAACTGTTTTTTTCATTTGCAGTTATGAGGATAATTTTCTTAGCAATGCATAGGGCAGTAAGGACTATATGTGATGTTTTTGTTTCCCTATCTAATTCACTTACGTCAGCCAAGATGCTCAGCTTCAGTGAGGTTGGGATACAGCAACTAAACCATGTGGATAGTCTTCACATAACCTCTGCCAGAACCTCTGGACTTGTAGACCTCCTCTACCTGCTTTTCCCTGTGTAACCTTGTTCTCCTTGAATTTAGAGGTTGTTGTTTCTCACAGTTTGGTCTCACCTGGACATCTGCTTCACCTCCTTGTCTGCTTGCCTGCCCTCTGGCCTGCTATTATACCCCAGACATTCTGGAAACCTCCATGAACCTCCCCTCCTCAGAGCTTTCAAAGGACGCGGACCAGCAAGTTTCTGGCAGATATCTGGATTGTTAAATAGATGTTAGTTTACATGGGATAAGTCAAGAATGAGCTATTTATTAAAAATTCCCACCAGGCTGTCAGAGAGGTGTTTATGTTAAGGCTTTTAAAGCAGTTATGATGCTTAATGCTTTCTAGGCTTATGAAAGGCAGACTAGAGATTTTCACTTTCCCACACAATGCTTCTTCTAGGTGCAGCCACAGGCGAGCTTGATTTGATCCATTTCGAAAGATAAAGCAATCTATTGGTCAAGAAGGAGTAATACAATTTTGGTAGTTGTAGACCACCATTGTTTGTTTTGGGTTTTTTTAGGCTTTAATAGAGTTTTCAAACTTATACGTGATGGTTTTTTTCTAGTGACTTAAACCAGGCAGTAAAGAGTTTATTAGAGATCAGCAAGAACCAGTTGTCTATTTGAAACAGAACCATCATTTTAAGTGGTGCGACTCTTCCCATGAGTGATATGAGTAAAGTATTCCAATGCGTGGGATCTTCTTCTTCTTAGTGGGAGAATATGATTCAATTGTACCAAGTGTGAGAGCCTGGTCGAAAAATCTATACCTAATTATCTAATGTTACCTAATTGTAGTGGACTGGTGGAGGTGTTCTGAAATTCGCAGCTCAGATGTAGAACTGTTGATCTGCTCCAGCTAATGGGGTAGTCTGATATGGATGATAACTTATCTATGAATGTTATTGTCTTCAGAAGGAAAGGCAATACATCATCAGCATATAGGCTTATCTTATGGTCTGTATTTTCAGTTTAAATTCCTTTAATATCTACATTTTGCTGCTGCTAGTGGTTTGATGAAAATGGACCACTGTCTGGTGCACCTCTTTAGATTTAGACAGCTCTGGGATGTAACATAATTTGTCTTAACAGATGTATTTAGAGAGCTGTATAGTGTTTTGATCCAA